AAACGCCTTTCTCAATGGTGATCTCACTGAGAAAGTTTACATGCAACCTCCGTCTAGTTCCTTTGTTTCATCCATCAAAGTTTGCAAACTTCGCCGTGCTTTGTATGGTTTGAAACAAGCTCCTCGTGCCTGGTTTGCCAAGTTCAGTTGTACCATTCATGACTTTGGCTTCTTTTCCAGTGCCTATGATTCTCTCTTGCTTATACGTCAAACAGAGCGTTGTATTATTCTTCTTCTTCCCTATGTGGATGATATGATCATTACTAGCGATGATATAGTGGGTATCTCTAGTCTCAAACAGTTCCTCAGTCACCAGTTTGAGATGACAGATTTGGGTTTGCTTAGCTATTTTCGCGGCTTGAAAATTTCTCATGATCCTTCTAGTTACTTTCTAACACAAGCCAAGAAATGTTGATTGTTTACCTTGTCAACTTGCTAAACAACATGCATTACTTTTTAATAAAAGTAATTCTATTTTTACTGCCCCGTTTTCTCTTGTGCATTTCAATATATAGGGACCCTCCCCCACCTGACCATGAGGGGGTCTAGATATTTTGTGATTTTTGTTGATGATTTTACTCGTTATACTTGAGTATTTCTTCTAAAAAATCAGTCTAAACTTAAACAGGTTTATTATGATTTCTCTGTCATGGTCCATACTCAATTTTCTCAAACTATTAAAACCTTTCGTACTGATAATGCTACGGAATATTTGGATTCTAATTTTCTTTTCTTTCTTCGGGCCCATTGTACCCAATCTTATCGTTCTTATGTAGGCACGTCTCAACAAAATGTTCGCGTTGAAAGAAAGCATCGTCATATTCTAGACACTACTCGGGCCTTTCTCATCTCCTTTTCGTGTCCAAAAAAGTTTTGGGGGGAAGCTGCTCTTACTGCTGTCTACATCATAAACCGTGTGCCTACTCCTCTCATAGCCAATCTCTCTCCTTATGAACGTTTGTATGGTTCTCCTCCTACATACATCACTCTTAAAGTTTTTGGCTCTACTTGTTTTGTTCTTCTTCAACCTCATGAACACACTAAACTAGAACCTCGTTCTCGTCTTTGCTGTTTTTTGGGGTATGGTATATAACATAAAAGCTATTGCTGTTGGGATCCAATCTCTAAGCGTCTTCGTATTTCTCGTCATGTGATTTTCTGGGAACACAAAATGTTCTCTACTTTGTCTAAGTTTCACCTACCACAGTCCACCCATTCCTTATTTTTTACTGATCTTTCTATAGACTTGGTGTCTCTTAAATTTGATGCAGTTTAACACCTTTAGAGCTGCCTATGCCTATTGTCAATCATAAGGTTTCTGTATCTAACGATGGTCTTATGCGTATTACCTTTTGTGGAGCCTCCTCCATTATCTCCTGTGGAGCTTTCTCCATCCTTACCACCATCTCCTCCAGCAGATCGTCATTCGACTCGTGTAAAGCAACCTTCTGTTCTTCTCCATGAATATATTGTTGGCTCCACTGTTTTTTCCTATCATGAACCTACTTCCTATCATGAGACTTGTTCTAACCGTCTTTGGCAGCAAGATATGACTAATGAACTGCAAGCTTTGGATAAAACCCATACCTAGGATGTAGTTGATCTTCCTCTTGGCAAGACTGCTGTTAGTTGTAAATGGGTTTATAAGATCAAAACTCATTCTGATGGTTCCATTGAACGTTACAAAGCTCGTCTTGTTACTCGGGGATTCACTCAAGAGTATGGGATTGACTATAAGGAAACATTTGCTCATATTGCTTATCTTACTTTAGTTCGCAGCTTATTAACAATTGTTGCTGCTCGCCATTGGAGTCTTTATCAGATGGATGTCAAAAACACCTTTCTCAATGGTGATCTCACTGAGAAAGTTTACATGCAACCTCCGTCTAGTTCCTTTGTTTCATCCATCAAAGTTTGCAAACTTCGCCGTGCTTTGTATGGTTTGAAACAAGCTCCTCGTGCCTGGTTTGCCAAGTTCAGTTGTACCATTCATGACTTTGGCTTCTTTTCCAGTGCCTATGATTCTCTCTTGCTTATACGTCAAACAGAGCGTTGTATTATTCTTCTTCTTCCCTATGTGGATGATATGATCATTACTAGCGATGATATAGTGGGTATCTCTAGTCTCAAACAGTTCCTCAGTCACCAGTTTGAGATGACAGATTTGGGTTTGCTTAGCTATTTTCGCGGCTTGAAAATTTCTCATGATCCTTCTAGTTACTTTCTAACACAAGCCAAGTATATATATCTCTGATCTCTTGATTCGTGTTGGTCTTACCATTTGTAAGACTGCTACTACTCTAGTTGATCCTTAGACTTGTCTCACACCTCTTGATGGTCACCTATTATCTGATGCAACTTTATATCGTCAGCTAGTTGGTAGTCTTGTCTATCTCATGGTTACTCATTCAGACATTGCCTATACTGTTCACTTTGTCAGTCAGTTCATGGCTACTTCTCGCTCTCCTCACTATGATGCTCTAGTTCGCATTTTGCGCTATCTAAAAGGCACTATGTTTCATGGTCTTCATTACTCATCACACTCTTCTCTACAGCTACATGCATTTTCTAATGCAGATTGGGCAGGGGATCCTACTGACCGCTGCTCTACTACAGGATTGTGCTTCTTCTTGGGTGATCCTCTCATTGCTTGGCGTAGCAAGAAGCAAACCCTTGTTGCTCGTTCTAGTACTGAGGCTGAGTATTGTGCTCTTGCAGATACTACTCAAGAATTTGTGTGGCTTCGTTAGCTTCTTACTGATATGGGAATTCCCCATCTTGCTGCCACTATTCTCTATTGTGACAATCAGAGTGCTATTCAGATTGCACATAATGACGTCTTCCATAATCGCATCAAGCATATTGAGATTGATTATCACTTCATCCGATAACACGTTACTAGTGGTACTGTTTGTCTTATCTTTACGACCTTTGTCAGTCAAACAGCTAACATCTTCACCAAGGCTCATCCTCCAAGACAATTTTCTGATTTACTTTCCAAGTTCAACTTGATATCTGCATTACCATCTTGAGTTTGAGGGTGGGTGTTAATATAGTATATTAAGATATATTAGGATATTATTTGTATATATCTTTTATTGTATATTTTCTGTATATACTTATCTTCTCTCATATATAAAGGAGTGTGTACCTATTCATTCATACATTGAATACAAGAGTTCTCTTTTCTCTTCTCTTTCTACTCTCATAAAATGTTTAAACTTAGTTTAAAATTTAAAAGAGTTTAAAAAAATATTTAAGTTTTACTTGTTTACATTTTAAATTGATCTTCAAATGGAACGGATCATGAGCTGGGCTCGATTAACTTATTTTATTTTAGTTTTTGATAACTCGTAATGTCCGAGTCAGTTTGAGTGTATCTTAACTATTTTATTTTTTATAGAGCATATAATCAAGTCAAACCAAGTTATACCTTGTTCACATAACGAGTTGAACGCTGGCTCAAAGTGGCTCGGTTCATTTTATAATTCTAATTAGAAGGTGGTTTCTGAGATTTTTAGATATGATTAATTTAATTAATTAATCATGGAAGCAAGGAAATAGATAGCAGGCTTAACATAAGCTAACCAAAGAGGATCATTTAAAAAGCCTCCTTGCCCACTTGCACACCAACTTGCAAATTCATTTCATGTCCTTACACAACACCAACATAAAATATACAGAGATAATAAAAGAGAGAAGATAAAAAAAACAATGACAACTTGCATTTGTTTCTATAACAAGTTGAATTATTATCATAGTCAAGTTGCGAGAGCGGCTGTTGATTCCTCTGTCATATATAACAAGTAGTAGTATTTTAATGTATCGTTCTTTCGTGCATGTCCTAATATCGAAAATTCCTAGGGTTTTTTAAACCAGGTTTCTCTGCTTGGTTGCGTTTCCGTTTTCTTCATTTTTGTTCGCTTTTCATGTCTTTTCATAAACAAAAACAATAAAAAGCTTGAACCTATCATCATGTTGTACGAAAATAGTTTTTAAAATAATATTGAAAATAACTTTATTATTTCTTGAAAAATAGTTATTTATATTACCCAAATGGTTTATGAGAACAGTTCGGCTAACAAGAAATAAAACATTTTGTATGCGCCCATTAAAAATTCTATTTTCTTGTGAAACAAAAATTTAAACACCAATGGAAAGTCTCTTGTACAACCAATCCAAAATCCGATAATAACGTTTTATTCGCTAGCAAGATCAGAAAAATTATAGAAACACAATTAGAGAAATATAAAATAGATCACTTATCATGTTCATACCTTGACAGCAGTCTATTATGAAGAAAACATATGATCAACTAAAATTTGTATCAAATAATGATCTATGTGTGTGTCGTTCGCAAAAATATAATGGGTGGTACTACATTTCTAATGAAAAATGGATATTACATCAAGAGTATAAATAAATAATGAGCTCATATCCGAAATGGGAAACAATACAAACAAAATATTTGTTTTAGAAAACTGCATAGAATGTAGGGCTTATACTCCACTAGGGTTGCATTGCACTGTCAATACTGCATTTTGTGTATTTTTCATTTTTTTTTTTTGGATGTAAATTTTTCTATGTTTATAGTATTAGTGATTGAAAAACAAAATGATGTTGGGTTCTACATAAATATGTAGTTAGCAAATATATAATAGTATCCACAAAGTAGTTGATCATAGATGTTTTATGAAACAAGCTGCAATACTATATGTGAAAAACTCTATTAAGAATAGTTAATAATACACATCCCCAACACAAACATACATTACTGGTTGTAGAGAAAAATATTAGATCATATATACTGTTTAGATCTAACATTTTGTAGTGAAGTATATATACTAATTCATATAAAGAACAATTAATTCCAGGATATAAATTCATCATAATATGCAAAAAATATAGTATGTATATAAGAATTCATGCACATTTTTCATTGTATATCATCGCCACCATTAGTAACTTGCTTTTAACACTGCATGTAGAGAGATATCATATTAATTCGATACTATTCATGGGTGTATAATTTTATTTTACAAGAACATGTACCTCATGAAATACATACAGAACAGACATACATACACAAAAATGGAGTTTGAAGAAAGCAACATTAACTGAACTTGGTTGGAAAGAGTTCACAATGATATATATATATATACATTACAGTAACTCAAAAGCACTCCCAACAAAAAAGAACATAAATCAGATCCAAAAGACTAACAGTGAATTGATAATAACACAAACACAACTGCACAGAAATTGAAAAAGAGAAAAAGAAAAAAAGGAGTAAAATCATATACTATCACCTTTATCAATTTGTATCTGAGGAGGGTTTCAGAACCAACCAAGCTATGGATTTTCACTTCTGGGCTTCAATTATCGACGATAAAATCACCAAGCCCACATCCCAAAATCTCGAAAAAACACTTAAATTAACGAACATGGAGATGAGTCATGAAGATTTATAGTTACTTTTTTTAGCCAAGTTCTCGGCGATCTGAGCCAGTGACTGTAAATTGCACCGAACGATCGTATCAACAAACACGCACGTCTCGTCCTTGGTGTTACCGGGCGGTATATCAACGACGTATGACTCGACGACAACTGTCCCGAACCCCGTCGGCGATTGGTGGAGAGTGGTGACGGACCGGTAATTGTTGAGTCTGTGATCGCCGCCGATAACGCTGAAGCTGATGACGTGTCGCTCGTCGTCGAGGATTTCGAGACGTTCGGTGCTGGACGCCGCCGGGAGACCCGACACCACGTGGACTTCCCTGAGAGTACCCACGTCACCGTCGCCGACGATGACGTGGCAGCTCTTGAGGAAGTGTTTGTAGGCTTGGGGGTTGTCGAAGCGGCGGACGACGGACCAGACGGCTGAGATGGGGGCGGCGATGGGCTGGACCACGGCGGAGCAGGACTGGTTGGGACCCACTGCGTGGGAGTGGTAGTGTAAGACGGCGTCGTCTGGGAGGGAAAGGGAGGGAGAGAGTCGGTATATGGTTTGGGGTTGTTGTTGTCGGTGGTGATTTGAAGTGGTGGTGGTGGTGGTGGTGGTGGTGGTGGTGGTGCGATGGTGGTGAAGAGACGTAGTCATTTCGTCTTCTTGGGTTTTTTTTAGTCTCTCCTTGGAAAGAAGTTTGAGGATAGCTGTTTATGAGGAGTGGATGTGGATATATATATATATATATACGTACAAATATATGAATGTATATGCGGAGAGGGAAAGCGACGAAGTCAGAAATATTATTCAACACTATACAAACCATAACATTTATTAGATTGTTGTTTTATAAGAGAGTTCGGCTTCTCTTATGTTTAAGATTAAGATTGGATTATTTAATCTCGTTTATGGGTTTATTTTTTGATCCAGTTTTGATAATTCAAACTGTTAATATCTAAAACTCTTCGACTATTATATTCTTTTAAAAACTCACATTGATCCGATATCGATAACTATTTGATTGAATTAGATTTATATAAAATAAATGAACGGTAAAAAAATAAACGGTTGACAAAAAATCTAATCCGATCGAATAGTTATCAATTTCCGAACAAAGTGATATTTTATAGAGATATAATACTCAGCAAGTTCTATACATTGAACGGTTCGAATTATCAAAACGAAGCTAAAAAATAGACCCATGGACCGAACTAAATTCAATCTTAATTTTAAACATGAGAGAATCTGAACCTTTATAAGAGATACAGACTTCGCTGGGATGTCGGTTGATTTTTACTTTTTTTTTTATATATTTTTTTGATTATTTTAATTTGGAGTTAAAAAGTTTATTTTGAGATAAGTTTTTTGATTTTTTTTATTTTTATAAAATAAAAAATAAAATAATTATAATTTAAATGTGATATTTTATTTTATTAATTTTTAGTTTATTTTATTTTTTTGACTGAAATAACTTTTAAAAAAAAAAAAAAGACTAGCTTGGCCATTTTTTTTTTTCTTCTTCTTCTTCTTCTTCCATTTCGACTCTTAAACGCAGGAGGGAGAGAGAGAGAAAGAGAGAAGAAGAGGGGAAGAGAGAGAGAGAGAAAGAGAAGAGAGCCCAGCCTGTCGCCGCCGTTGGTCGTCTGCCCAACCCCGGTCGTCTGCCCAGCCCCGATCGTCTGCCCAGCCGCCCCGCCGTCGCAGCCTCTGCCCAGCCCCGCCTCCGCCTCCTTCCATTTTGATGGCCCCTTCCAGTTCCTCCTCCTCCTCCTCCTCCTCCTTCCCCTTCCCCTGCTTATGAAGAAAAAAAAAAATAAATAAAAAAATTCGGAGAATTTGGAGTCGCTCAGTTTCGGGGACGTAGCATGACCCTAAAATGTAGATGTATAATTGAGCACCATTTAAAATTTGTTGAGATGAACTGTAGCTGCTATACATCCATCACTGCTGTTCAGTGCAATAGGACCCATTTGGGGTTTCGTGATTCCAACTATGAGCATTAAACTTCTATATTTATCATTTCTTTATTAACAATGCTACAAAAAATTTTAAAAAATGTTCAAAATAATATTTAAAATATATATATTTATAAATCACAATTATTTTAATCGTGATTCATATTTGGGGAAATTATTATCTACTGTATAGGGAAAAAATTACACAATAACAGTAAACTTTATGAGCATTAATAATTAAAATTATAAACTATTTCATATATTTATAAATATTTTGTAAACACCACTTAATTGTAATTCTCCCTTCACATTTTACTAATTTTAAATCAGTGGTATTATAAATCCAAAAAATTTATTTAGAAATTATCCAAAAACACCAATATGTGGTTCAAATTCATACACATGGCTTCTACAATACACACTTTTAATCTCGATCACACAATCCATTTTTAACCCAAATCTGGGATTGTCCGAGACTTACTAATTATAAATTTACATCCTATAACTCTTTTCGGAAAAATAATTGAAATAATTTTTTATAATTAACATTTTGATAAATATTCTTTAATTCCATAACGCTCCATCACATTGGGTTGTTTAGTACAATTTATAAAAATGCTTATATTTGTTTTTTGGCCGAAAATTGTGTCAAAATATTTGTGCAACTTGTGTTTATAATTTATGGGACAAAATGAGCTAATTCTTGAGATCCAGGCAAAGAGTTTAACTCACAAAAAGTCGTACTAAGCCTCCGTTTGGGAAGTGGGTTGGCTTTTTGGCTTTTTGGCTTTTTTAGCCTGGGCTAAAAAGCTTGGTTTGGAAAGGGCTTTTTGGCTTTTTGGCTTTTTTGACTTTTTTTGTGAGAGAATAATGTAATGATTATAGGTTGGATGTGATGTTTTGTTTATTATGACTAAAATAGCCTATTTTGTTTTTTGTGGCTAAAATAGCCAAAAAAACCTGAAAAAGCCCTTGCCAAACGGAGGCTAAATAGGCTTATTATTTGTTTGCTGCTCCAACTCATTTGTATAGTGAAAACTTTTCAAGGTGAGATATTATGTTTCACATTTGTTAAGTATTTGAGAGAAAGATTGTCCTACTTTTAGTATATGCTATGATTTTTATTTGTTGATAGTATCATATAAATAATATCACATAATATTTTGAGAACATTTAATTTTGATAATAAACACTATTACAAGATTGTAATGAAGATCTTTATTATAAAAATAACGTTAGGTTTCATAAAAAAAATATTATGAAAATTTTCAGAAGGTTTTTTATCTTTTGATTAATTTTTAGTGTTTTATTATATGTGTAATTCAATGATGGAGAATCTTCATACTGCCTTTCTTGATATTTATTTCATAAAACCTAACATTACTCTTATTATAATAGATAAAGTTGTTAACATAAATTTCATAACATAAATCTTACACTTTGGATCATTTACCATGTGTATTATCAAGAAATCAAGACAAAATGACATACCTGAATCCATTGATGAACGGTTAAACGGAAGCGTCTTTATCAATGAACTCTTTGTTATTGATTATGTTATTGCCTTCTAATCCTTTCCCCTTTGGTGCCTTATGTTTCTCCTTGAAAGGATTTAGGAAGAAAAATGGCAGTGTTCTTATTTCCACTTGGGAAGGAATAGGGACCATAACCTTTTAAAGGTTGTAATTGGTTTTCAGACCCCACCAATGGTCACGTATACTAATACAGCTAAATGACATAGATCAATCATGGATGCGTAGCATGGAAATTACATGTGATGTGATCCATACATGCCTATTTCCAACTGGTCCTACTTAACTTTATTGAGATCAATACTTCACAATACGTAACAGAGCGTAATAAACTGAATATTTCATTTCTGCAGAAATTAATCTAATTACACGAAATTTGTACTTTTGGCGAATCGCTTTCAAAAGAAGAATTGGAAAAAGAAGAAGAAGAAGAAGAAAATGACGAAATTAAGAAAGAGTACTGCCGGTGCTTGAGGCAAAGAAAACAAGACTAAAATGATATACCTGAATCTATTGATGAACGGTTAAACGGAAGCGTCTGATTGTCAATAAAACCTTTGATATTGACTATGTTATTGCCTTCTAATCCTTTCCCCTTTGGTGCCTTATGTTTCTCCTTGAGAGGATTTAGGAAAAAAAACAGTGTTCTTATTTTTCACTTGGGGAAGGAGAAATTAATCTAATTACATAGATAAAACTCAAGGCTGACATAAAGCAGTAATATAAATACAAACTCCCACTAAACCAGAATGTTCTCAAATAGAACAACACCCATCTGAGCAGTGTGCTCATGAAAGACCTTGGGTGGTAGTCCCTTCGTAAGTGGATCCGCTATCATGGAGTTTGTCCCAATGTGCTCTATGGAAATCTGTCCACTCTGCACTCTTTCTTTTCTTTTCTTTTTTTTGAGTAAAGCCTTTGGTTACAAGACGTGCCTTATACCTCTCCACATCACCATTTGAATCCCTTTTGGTTTTAAATATCCATTTACAACCTACGGGCTTCGCACCAACTGGTAATGAGACAAGTTCCCAAACTTTATTGTCTTGCATAGACTTATATTCTTCATTCATGGCTTCTATCCACTTATGAGAGTTGGAACTTTCCATGGCTTGACGAAAGTTGATTGGATCATCTTTCGACATTCCATTTTCTACCTCATGTTCCTGGAGATATACAATATAATCATCTGAAAATGCAAATCTCCTTTCTCTAGTTGATCGCCTTAATGGCATTAAGTTACCAAATAGATAATCTCTAAATAAATGAATTTAATGACAACATCTCAAGATACCTAGCACAACATTAATACCAAACCTTTGGGTAGTGATATTAACTGTAAGTGGTATTCTTGTTGTAATGATCAAACATTGACAATAAGTTATGTCAAATAACAAATCTATCTTTTGATGGATTTATTATTCACATTAGGTTTTCTTGACAATTGGCACATGTTTATCACCACAAAATGTGTGTGTAATTTTACCAAGCTTTAATCGTGTCTATGGACCGATAAATACCGGCATGAGATACACAAACATGAACTTCAAAACATTCCATATAAAACAATCTAGACAAGAGACATCACTTTTGTGACATCTTGTTTGAATTGACATATATGGAGAATGTTAGAAAATTAAATTTCTATAGACGTTGTATGAAATTACATTAAATTTAAAGATTTCTAAATTTGTAACCCCGTATATGTTATATAATCTGCAGCAATTCCAATTATATATATACATATATAAATAGAATTGACGGGTCCAAAAACAAATAGTTTTTTTTTTATGATGTTCAAAATTAAACCGATCAAATCACAAGATATATCTATATATATATAAACACATGATGTTCATCCATAAGAAAATTCAGAATCTGATTCCAGGAAACTAAATAGAATGAATAAAGCATATCAATTCTGATAAGACACATGATATGACCGCTCTGATACCACTTGTAAACATAAAATTTCAGAGCATAAACCTTACACTTTGGATCATTTACCATGTGCATTATCAAGAAATCAAGACAAAAAACATACCTGAATCCATCGATGAACGGTTAAACGGAAGCGTGATTATCAATAAACTCTTTGTTATTTATTATGTTATTGCCTTCTAATGCTTTAAAAAATAAAAAATAAAAACAAAAATGAAATTGTTTGAAATAGAAAATGATTTATTTATTTATTAATTAATTTTTAAAAATAAACTTTTAAATAAAAAAAAAC